CTCTCACTGCATGATTTTGGGCAAGTCACTTAATTTTTTAATGGTGCAGTTTACCTTCCAGAAATTACATCTATTTTATAATATCATCAAGCAATAAAATTGACACTTCATTTTAGAGGCCCTGAACACCAACAGATCTTACTGAAGTTAACGAGAGATGCACCACTTCTGTATATCAGGCTGTTAATGTTTGTAAAGCATCCTGCAATCCTAAAAGGTACTATAAAACTGCAAAATATTAAATTAATGAACAGTGGATTCCTGTGCAGTCACAGGAAGATCCCTGTGTCTTATTTGGAGTGGTTATTTCCTCCAAAGTGTTAACTGCAACACAAAACACCACAAAACCTCAATCCGAATCAATTTTGCATATGTGTTGATGGATACTATAGAGTGTTTATGGCTGCTTGATAGAGCATGAGACTCATAAATTTAGGAGTACATTTCCTATCAGTCACTGTGAGGTGAGGCCAATGGATTAGGGCTGTTAAATATTGGTTAATTGAATAGTCAATTAACTTCATGAATTTGTATTGGTTACTCAACTATTCATTAGTCCCCGAGCCTGGGGCCAGCAGCTAGTGCACTATGGCCCGACTCCTGAGGAACCCTCCGCCATGCCATGGTGCTGCCTCTATATCAGAGGCAGCAGTGCGGGGTGGCAGCAGCCCCTGTCCGAGGCAGGAGGGCTGAGCTCCTGAACCTGGTGCGAGCCGGAACTGAGCTGGGCTGTTTGCCTACCTGTCTCCTAATACACTTTAAATGCAGAGTCGCAGCAGAAGTAGGTCCTGGACCCAGCATGAGCCAGGACTGAGCTGGCCTGCTGGCCAGCCTGCTAAAAACTGTACCGGAGGGTGGGGGAAGAGGGAAATTTGTGTAGTCTATGGCATTAATCGATAAGTATTTGTTTATCAGTTAATTGACTACACTATTACATCCTGACAATGGACAGAAACAGAATTTTTTAAAAAAAGTCTGCAAAATAAATATGTGTAGAGGTAAATTTTAATATGAAAGGTTAGGAGAACAATTTACCACTGTAGTGAAATAACTACATACTTGGCATTAAAGAGAGAACTGAGTTTAACAGACTGAAACCTGGGCATCACGGTTTCTGAGTAAGATATGTAGAAAACTAAAGTAGACTGATAAAATCACAAAGGTAGAAGATTATTGCAAATTAGATTTTTGTTATATCTTAAGACTGTGTGATAAATGACATGTGACAGACTACATCTAGCAGGTCTAACGTAAGCTTATTTAAATAACTGGTCTTCTATATTTGACATTTAAATTCACATATTTCTATATCCTGAATCATGCAACATGTAAAGTGTCTTTTTTCCATTGCATAATAATGAAGTACTGCACAAGGAAGTTTAAATTTGTTAACTTCACAAAGGAAAATATTAACTTGTAGCACATAAAAAGTTGGTGCATTCAAGAATATGACTGGAACTAAAAATGAGCACTTACAAAGGCCCTTTTCAAAGATAAGGAAGATGAGAATAATTAATTCCATATAAAAGAGATAATTGAAGAGACAATGACCTCACATTTGTTAGTTTAAGAGTTGGAAGAGAACTTGGATCACTGACATTCGTTTTGTTAAGTGTTCTATCAGACCCTCAAATAAAAAGTTAGTCTTTGGGACAACAAGGGTTTATTCCCTGTAAATGCAACGAGGACTGACCAACCTCATGTTCTGGAACATGTTTCACACTTATCTAGGATACTGAACTAAAACCAACCAACAGCCAAATTTTTTTTTTTTGCTAAGTCAGAGACAATGTTTTCAGCACTCACAAAAGTACTGCTTCTGCAGCAATATCGTTGGCTATAGTTTAAAGTAGTTTTTGTCACTACTTTATATTAGTTTTTCTCTGTTATTGCCGTTTACCACAAAATCTGATTATATTTAAGAAGCCCTTACTTGGCTTTGGTCTTCTGTGTCATTTACTGATAGGGACATTTGAGAGAAACTAAATCTGACCTTAGAGAAGACAGATGAAGTAACCAATGTCTTTCCTATAAAGTCTGAGGAGGCTGTGATCAACTTCCAATTGTGAAGGATTACTTGGTAATGTGGGGAAAATCAAATTACGTGAATACCAAAAGATACTGTCTCAGTGAACATGGGCTGCAATCCTACAGTGTTAGATAAGTGGGTGAATCCTTGTACTCATATAGTTTTACACTGGTAACAGATTTTATGTAACATCTGATATCGGATTTGTCAATTAAGGATTGGCTTAGTTGCTCACCAATGACATCATAGAAGATAAGATCCATTGATCAACGGCTCAGTCTATACATATACACTGTTGAATTAAAAACTAGTATTTTGTTAGGTTTTATTGTTCAAACCATATTCCTGGTAGGTCTAGTTAGTTATTTTCAAGCTATTTTTAAATTTCACACTAACAGATCTCAGTTTTCAAAAAAATTTCCATTACTTTGTAACTAAACTCCATTTATAGTTATGATTGGTCTAATCCAGGGGTCTCCAAACTACGGCCCGCGGGCCCTCTCATCCGGCCCGTGGAGACCTTTTTGTCTACGGAAAAAAAATTATGGAAATTTACGTGTATCCTGCCAAGATCAGCCGCCGCTTACGTGGACGTTATGTTTTTACCGAATTAAAACAGAGGCACGCAGTAGTGCGTTATGTTTTCCAACCGATCATTACATTGCAAAACCTTATTCGCTGCTTACTTTTTCTACTTCCGTTCACAGTCAATGAGATGATATAACGCCATCTAGTGGCGGAGTTTTTAAATGGTTTGCTGCTGGTTCAAGACTTGATTATTTTGATCACAGTTTGCCAGTTGCGGTTGACTGTTGCGATGAGGAGGTGTTGGTGTCAATTAGCGTCTGATTTCGAAACATGTTGCACTCTATTTTATTTAGTGATAATTTCCTTCGCGTAATTACTTATCAGTGTGTTTAAAGTATTGGGAATGTCGTTAGTTTAGTAAGAATTTTTCGAATATTCTGAAGAGGAAACATTAAAAGCAACAATCTCTCTACCATAAGTGGATATATTTGCACACTATATTCAGGTAAGTTTAACTTAGGAACCTAATACAGGTGTTCATGTGTAGTGTATCAATGTGTTATTAAATAATAACTGAATAAAATAATATTAAATAAATAATTAAAAACAACATCCATGTTTTGTTTTTTATTTGGACCTCAACTGTGTAGTCGGCCCCCGAACTGCTGTTTGATAGTTAATGCGGCCCTCGGGCTGAAAAGTTTGGAGACCCCATGTCTAATCCAAAAGTAATAATATTCATTATATTTTCTTCTACCGCCATAATTTTACATTCCCCTAAGACTCAAAACATCCCACGTTCCTGTCAAATTTAATCTGAATGTTGAAAAGTAATTTGGATAAATATGTATGCTCATCTAAAGCACATCCAAGAACTGAAATCCCAGAGATAATTTTCCATCAGCTGCCAATGACTATTTAAATCATTTTGTTAATTTCACTGAATCAATATGCCATGTTCATAAAGGTCAAAGAGAAAATATCAATACATGGTATTCATCCACAGTTACTGCAATGCACCTATATCACATAACTACTGAAAAATTAGCAAAATGGAGCAAGAGAGAAGCAAAGTCATTTCAGACTATTGTAGAAAGTCAGATTTCTTTGACAATGATTGGAACTGATATTTGCACCCTACTGGTTTATATTTACATAGCATCTTTCATTTAACTGGATTCTAAACTATTCAAAATATAATCTGCTGCGTCTATTAGGGTCAGGGGCTGGCATTTTTCTTCCTCTCTTTCTGCACACCGCCCTAGAATTGATCCTTTCCCTTCTGCTATTGGGAGTAGAGGTAGCTGGGTTCTCTCTTCCTCTGCATTCCACCTATCTATTGTTCTGTTACTTTAAACATTAAACTGGCCCTTGTGTGTGTCCAGAAGCCTCACTAGATAACAGGAGCAGGACATTCAGATTCTGTTAGACACTGCTGTTTATTGGAAGGGCCGTGAAGTGTACCTAGTGCCTTTAGATCAGGGGTGGGCAAAACCATGGGCTGCATCTGTCCTGTTACACCTTTTAATTTGGCCCTCAAACTTCCCCAGAGGAGTGAGGTTAGGGGCTTGCCCCACTCCAGCGCTCCAGTTGGGGAATGGGGTTAGCGGCTTCTCCCACTCCATACAGCTACCAGAAGCAGCAGCATATCCTTGCTCTGGCTCATACTCCAGCCTGAGTCTGAATGTGTACACTGTTAGTTTTACCCCAATAGCCCAAGCTGCATGAGCTCTGAGACTCAGTGCAGTAAGTTTTTTTAATTGCAATGTAGACATAACCTAAACTATTGTTAAGATGGCTTTGATGATAAAGGTGAATGTGTCTCAGGGTGACAGAAGATGCATTACTATTTGAGAAAAAGACAGTAAGTGCTTTTGAATAAAAGATACAAGTTTTTTACATTAGCCAGAATGTCCTCACACCAATTTGTGGTGTAAAGGAGGAGGAAAAAGCAGAGTGAGAAGATTTTTCTATATCCCTTTTCACATCTCAGACACTTTTCAAGCTCTCTGACCTGTAAAACAGCAGAGCAGTACATCAAAGAAAACTGATCACAGTCTGAAACTGATAGAGCTTGAACTGCAAACAGAATTTGTGTGAACAAAAACATTTTAGGGGAAAAATGTTCCCAATAATGTGCTTGAAAAAAAATTAAACAGTTTTAAGAAAGTGAAAAAAGTACATGTATTTGGTTAGCACCACCAAACCACAGTAAAGAGTAATGCCCATCTGGACCTCTGAAACATACATCTCTGTGGTCAAGGATATTATTCTGCATTAAAAATATATCCTATTTCCTCTTTAAAAGTAAAAAAGGTATATCAATGTGTGGCATACTAAATATGGCAGTCTACATATTGAAAAATTATTGGGAAGTTGAAAGAAATAAATGGAAAGAGTCAACTTTGACATTGGTTAAATATTCCAACTTTCCTTACCCTACCTGGCACGTGTTGCTTCTACTGCGAGTGCCAATAGGTTGCCTTGGCCTGTGGCAGCACATTCTGTCAAAGCAGCGAGACACTGCTGGGCTACTGCTTCATCTCTGCTAGCTTTTACCTTAGATGAAGGAGGAAAAAACACTCAGTTTAAGTAAGCAACTATAAGGCATTCAAGGATTCCAATAGGAGTCTGGTAAGGTTCCCTAGTCAAAGATGCCTGTATTGGAATCAAATAAGAATACAGTTATCATTAGTATGCTGAAAATCTGTATGTTGAAGGTCACAGGACCAGGACCTGGAAATGTCTCCTGATCCTGAATCTATGTTTTTATACAAGAAAGCCAACTCAGTACTTTTGCAACAGTATTCTTCATGTGATCCTACATATACTGTGCTGTAAAACAGCTAGACAATGAAGCTTTTAATTGTATCATCTGAAAGCTGGGATTCCAAGATGGCACAAAGTGGTGTTTCTCAACCTTTTTTTTTATAAAGTACCCCTTTAAAAAAAAATTATAAGTACCCCCAGGACCTACAGTTTTCAGACACAAAATTTCTTCTACCACTGCAACACATTTGTTTAAACAGCTTAATTGTAGCCGGGTGAGCGACGAAATTTTTCGATGTAAAAAGTACAAAAATAATAAAGCGCTGTAAAACTTAAAACAAAAAAAGATTTTTGTCCAAATTTCAGTTGTGTTGATGCACCCCCCAGACTTCGAGTATCCCTAAGGGTACTCTTACCACTGGTTGAGAAACACTGGTACAAAGCAATGATTTCTAGCTCAGGTATTAGGAAGAGATACCACAATAATTAAGGAATGCAAGTGGGCACAAGGCAACATGGTAAGACCACTTCTCTCTGACTTAGTTATTTCCAAGGTGCTACCACTTTTGTATTTAAGCACTGAAAATATGGTTTAAAAATACCCAAGATCTTCCTAACTGTCTCAGCTAGAAAGAAACGCTTTGCACTGTATTACAGCTTGACACTGCAATTTTCACATGGATGTTATATATCATTTATATAACATTCGCTTCTGATCCCAGCATTCCATGAAATATTAGATCCTAAATCAACATATGTATAACAATGTTTCCATAACAATGTCGCACGATTCCAGGCATGAATACAGCAGATAAATCTCAGAATAGTGTAATTATCAATCCCAGATAGGTGCTGTAACATGAAAACTTCCAAGTAAGTAAGTATTCCTTTTTTATGCAATAACACTAAAGATTACCCAGCACAAATCGGCAATTGCAGATTATTTCAAAGAGGAGGATGAGGGGAAACTAGGCATTCGCTTAAGAAAATCTTGGCCTAAGTATTTAGAGTTAAATTTTTGGGGGATCTATTTAGAAGTGCTTACAAAAGTTATGATTCCTTTTTGCATGGTCAGAACCTTTATCCGACTGCAATACAAATAACTGCACAAGGTGCATGTTTATGTAAACTAATGCTCTAATAGATAAATGGATACAAAGGAAGCCAAATTAAAAAAACTGCTTTGAAGTGCTAGTGCATTGAAAATGTTCCACAAATAAGAGTAAGAAACAATAATAAGAAAACATCACTACTTTTAGAATAATATGCAAAATATCCCAAAAGTGAAGGTGTGAGAAATATTCCATCCCTCATCAAACTGTCAAAAAAGTCTATGTACATAGGACACCACAACTTTTTTAAAGACATTCTACCATAAAGAAGCTTTAAATAAGTATAGTTCACACAAACTACCATTTCACTTAAAAATAGGAAGTTATAGAGTGATAAAGCTGAATCTTCTGAACACAGCATTTAAGGCACTTTAGCCTTCAGCTCCAGAAATAGTACAGTCATGATTTTAAATCAGTGGTGAGCAAACTGCAGCCCAAGGGCCACATGCGGCCCACTGAGGTTCTACATGTGGCCTACAAAACACTTTGTTTACTGTTGCCCATGCACAAGATTGCCAGATTCTTATCTGCCTGTTTTCATTTGCATGTTTTTCCCCTATTGGCATGACAAAAGCAGCATGCACTTAAAGCAAGGGCATGTGAATGAGGTGAGTGCTGATTGCACACATTGTGAGACCCATGTGCTCCCTGTGCATCCAAAGTGCTGCTATGGTACAACCAGCACATGCCACAAATTCTAGGTACACAAGCGCATTTAGCAAAACTACCCTGTCCTGGGAGACTGTCTTGGGGTGTGTCAAAACTACTGAGTTTTGTCGACAAAAGTGGACTTTTGTCGACAAAACTATACCTGCGTCTACACTACTGCTGAGTTCTGTCGACATAACGTTGACAGAACTCAGCAGTTTTGTCAACGCTGGTAAACCTCATTTTACGAGGCATAACACCTTCTGTCGACAGAGTTCTGTCGACAGAAGGTGTTATTGCCTGTAGGATTGCATCTAGACTACAGGGTTTTGTCGACAAAGCAGCTTGCTTTGTCGACAGAACTGAATGTATCTAGACGCTCTATGTCGACAGAAGTTTTGTCGACAGTATCTGTCGACGAAGCTTCCATCGACAAAACCCTGTAGTCTAGACGCACCCTTGGTTACAACAACCTTGTGGCCCACTGAGATGGAGACCCACTCATGCACCCCACTTACCAGCCTAGGTTGCCCACTGGTGATTTAAACAGTCTTTTGTTTATTACGTTCTGTGATTTATACTTTTGGCTTGCTATTTAAAATTATAAATTGTTTTAACCATCTGATTGCAACTAAGTATCCTTGATATATAAATACCGGGGCATCAGATAGAATGTGTCTGCTCTGCTGCTCAACATACCATGGACATGTTAAGATGCCCCAGATGTTAAGGGACTATTTTTAATAAAGCAGTATGGTGATGGACCAGGAAAGGAAGAGTTAATTGGAAGAACATTAATGTTCCACAGACAGAATTAATGTAAAAGTATAGTCCCGCTGTCCCTTTCCCTTCAGTCTTTGGCCTCGTTCCTGTACTAGTCCACTGGTGCCATGTTCTTCCTCCCCCTACCCCTCATTGATTTTTCAGCTGAATTTGTCTGGGTACTTTCCTTAAGCTTTTCTTAACATTTACACTGAACTATTGCCTCAAAGCCTCATTGTGCTAGGAACTGTATACACATCAGAAAAAGTAGGTCCCTGTCCCAGAGAACTTACAGTCTAGGTAAAGCTTTGTTCAAATTAACCATAGATCTGGGGAATAATAATCTGCCTGTGCTATTTGCAGGTTTTCCCACAATTCAGTCTCAATGCATTTCATTAATGATCTGCAAAATATCCAGCAGAGGTCCTGATGAGACCAGACTCATGTCTGTGTGGCCAAAGGAGGATTTGAACACAAGCATCCAAGGGTAAAAGGCCAGAGAATCCACTATATCATCTCCTTCTTGCTGGAAAGAGCTATGATTTAATTTCAACTCAGTTTAATTTTTGTTTAATCTAACTAAATACAGAGAATAACAATAAGCAAAATGCAAATAATCTAGATTTCAGGAATCAACCTCAGAGAAATTGAAGTGCTGAAGTTTGTCTCTAAATTGCTGAATTTAAGAACAGTTTTGTCACTGTTAAAAATGCATTTTGTTGGCAAACAAACTCACTGAAGAAAATGTCACACAAAGCTACTTAAAATATGACAAGAATTTGCATTTTTCAAAAATGTACTACTTACCTTTTTAAGCTTCTCAATCTGCTTGGTTCGGACTGAACTGTTATCAATAGCCAAAACTTCAACTGTCTCTTCTTTTTCTAACTGGTACTTGTTTACTCCAACAATTACTTCAGACCCTGTTGATTTTCCACACAATGATCAAGAATTTAGACTATAGTCACAAACTGCTGAGCTATTTTTGAAAAGTTACAGTATTTTATATATCTAAGTAACTGTCTAATATTTAAATGGTCTGGATCTGCAAAAGCGACAAGGAGTCCTATGGCACCTTATAGATTAACAGATGTATTGGAGCATAAGCTTTTGTGGGCAAAGACCCACTTCGTCAGATGCATGTAGTAGAAATTTCCAGGGGCAGTTATAAATATGCAGGCCAGAATAAGGCTAGAAATAACGAGGTTAATTCAGTCAAGGAGGGTGAGGCCCACTTCTAGCAGCTGATGTGGAGGTCTGAACACCAAGACAGGAGAAACTGCTTTTGTACTTGGCTGGCCATTCACAGTCTTTGTTTAATCCTAAGCCGATAGTGTCAAATTTGCAGATGAACTGTATCTCAGCAGTTTCTCTTTGAAGTCTGGTCTTGAAGTTTTTTTGCTGCAGGATGGCTACCTTTAAATCTGCTACTGTGTGTCCAGGGAGATTGAAGAGTTCTCCTACAGGTTTTTGCATATTGCCATTCCTAATATCTGATTTGTGTCCATTTATTCTTTTATGTAGGCACTGTCCAGTTTGGCTGATGTATATAGCAGAGGGGCATTGCTGGCACATGATGGCGTAAATTATATTGGTAGATGTGCAGGTGAATGAACCAATGATGGTGTGGCTGATCTGGTTAGGTCTTGTGATGGTGTCGCTGGTGTAGAACTCAGGCAATTACATTGCCAATCATTGCAGGATATTCTTTCACCACATAGTATAAAACTTTGACTAACCTAGTCTTACATATATGTCAAGCAATTTGGCTTTCACCACTTCCCCTGGAAGACTATTTCACAGACTAATAGACCCCCTCTCAGGAAGTTTTCACTGACATTCTATCTAAAATGTCCATTCTTATTAATTTAATTCCATTATGCCTAGTCTGAGAAGTGAAAATGAACTAAAATACTGTTTAAAGCTCAGATCTCCAAACAATTACAATATTTTAAAAGGGTGTACTTTGGAGTTAACGCCTCTGTCTCTCCGCCATTCCCTGTCCTTACCAGAATCGATCCTGGCTTGTCTTCGGGCAGCACATTCTTCAATCCGGAGTTTGGGAATTCCCTCAGCTACAGCTTTGGCCATTCCACCCATTTCTTCAATCTCATTAATAAGCTAAGAAAAGTAACAAGAAAAATTAAGAGAATGGTTAATAGCAAGATTCGTGAAACTAACTTTTTACAATCTAGTATTACCAAAATCCCTATTAAAATACTTAAGTGTCATGCTTTAAATTAAAAGTTTATATTCGAGCTACCTATATTTGTATCATTTAGCTTTCTCAATTTACACACAGAAAGAAAGAACAGTATTAACGCATGGTATTTTACAAAGAAAATAAGAAACCATTTTCCTGATCCTTCACCTCTGCTCTTGAAGGGTATATAGTCCAACTCCCACATTCTGCAACTAACTTCTCATGGCGAGATATCTGCACCCATATAGAGCCAAACTGACTTTAACGGGACTTTGTACAGAGCCCCGTGATCCACTCACATGGAGATAATTGCAGAATTAAGGCCTAAAGCCTGAAACTTGCAAATGGTTATTTTTATTCGTGTGACTAGTTCCACAGAGATGAGTAGAACTACTTATATAAGTAAACTGTTACTCATGCCCATACAAGAGTGATGTTAAGTGTCTCTCATTATCTTCAAGTGCTGCTCTGGTACTGCTGCTGGCTCTCTTCCCATATACTTCGCTCTCACATTGTGAATCTCCCACCTTTTGCACATCCAGTATTTAAGATGCGGTTCCACAATACACTCTCTGAGATCTTTGGACTGGAAGGGTGTATGGAGGGGAAGATATGATGAACCCACAACACATCTAATCCTTACAGTCTCAGATAGATTGCTGAAGTCTATAGTCCTCAGCATCCTAACAGATTGCAGAAGCTTAGCTGCACAGCTGGGAC